ATACATTTTGTATCTTAATATATATTTGTCCACAAAACTCGGAAACTTCAGATCGAGATCTAAAATCAATTTGCATCAGATATATCAACTCAAGCAATAATCCAAGATTCATTCAAGACTATTCTATAGACTTGAATTTCACTTTAAAACTGAGGAATAGAGTTTGTAGGTAGATTGTAGCTAGGGTCATTGTCCTTTTAACATAAGTATTTTAATCACGACTACGAGAATTGTTTTATCGCATGATCTCCATATAGGGTATTATTTACAACGCAAAAAATATTAGTAACGACAACTTGTGGATTAGGTATAAGGCTGAGTTCGCGTTTCAAATTGTAACTATTCTGAAAACTGCAATCGTTTCGAACTTTGAAATGTTTACGAGTTAGTCAAATTAAAAGGTAACACAGTCCCTTTGTTTATGACATCCAAGGTGGATATATCTCTATCTTATCTCTATAATCTTTTTATATAGAAAAAAATAAGTATGTCTTGACCTACCAACGACAGCTTCAGTTAGAGAACAAGTAACAAGCAAATGTATAAACAAAATACTGAAAAATTTAAGAAGTGCAAATAATGAGCTATTTTCAAATGTATATTTCTAATTTAACGATTTGAGAAAAGGAATGTGAAATCAACGAGCAAACTCGCAACCTATTTTGGTTGACAACCCCAAAAATATTATTGACTGGTTAGGGATGCACATGACAGAGTTCGATTCCCGGCAAGACTATAATTCCGCACCGGGCAGTTATAGGTTGATAAATTAACCGTCAAATATTATAATGTAATTTAAATGGTGAATACATATACAATGAACCGTGATGACAGCGATGCAGACAAAAATTACTCATGCCTCGCTCGTGTTGGGAACTATAAAAAAAAGTGAACATAAACGGCAAAGTAATTAGTTCCGACCTCGAAGTAGCCTCTGCATTTGAAGAGTTTTTTACTAACATTCCTTTAAATACAACCAGCGTTTTGAATTCTTCACCATCAGCCGCCCTTTTATTATTGAAAAAGAATGTTCCTGTATGCAATCATAAGTTTGTATTTAGCCGCATTAGCTGCAATGACATTATAAAAACATTTAAACAGCTAAAAATAAAAAAAAACTAAAGATCTTTGGGGTGTATCTGTTTTCATTTTACAATCAGTAATCAATACTATCAGTTCAGAGTTGGCTATAATATTTAATGAATGTATAGATTGTGGAGTCTTTCCAGACCAGATGAAGATAAGTAAAATCACACCGTTATTCAAAACGGGCAGCACTTCGGACCCCACAAATTTTAGACCCATATCTGTGCTGCCGGCTTTGAGTAAAATCTTTGAAAAAATCATTCTTGAACAATTATTGATACATTTTAATAATAATAAAATTATGCATAGCCAGCAGTATGGTTTTACAAGAGGTCGCTCCACAGCAGATGCTGGCATTCAATTAATTTCCGAGATTTTAAATGCTTGGGAAAATTCTCATGATGCCATTGGAGTTTTTTGCGACTTATCAAAGGCTTTTGACTGTGTCCATCACGAAATCCTAATCAAGAAACTTCAACACTATGGCATTGGCGAAAAAGCGCTAAATCTTGTGGAATCATACCTGAGCGATAGAATTCAAAAGGTAAATGTAAATGGAGCTATATCACAGGGATCCTCTGTTACTATGGGAGTACCGCAAGGCTCCATACTTGGTCCCTTCTTATTCCTCGTCTATATAAATGACCTGCCATTTCTTGTAAAGGAGCTTCACGAGATAGTACTGTTTGCTGATGACACTTCGCTTTTATTTAAAGTGAAACGACAAAATCCATCACTTGATAACGTAAACAGTGCCATCTCCAGTGTAGTTCACTGGTTTAATACAAATAATCTTAAGTTAAACGAAAAGAAGACAAAATGTGTTAAATTTGTAACTACAAATGTAAAAAGTAGTCATTCTCAAATAATAATTAAAGACGAGGAAATAGACTTTGTTGATAATGCGGTGTTCTTGGGAATTACAGAAGAAACTCCATGGGGCCGAACAGAAGGTCTTTCGAATAGGCTAAGTTCCGCAGCGTTCGCAGTAAAAAAGATACGCGATCTTACGGATGAGAACACAGCAAATCTTGTTTATTTCAGCTATTTTCATAGTATTATGTCATATGGTGTTATTTTGTGGGGTAATGCAGCTGACATTAAATCGATATTTGTAGTGCAAAAGCGGGCTATAAGAGCGATCTGTGGGTTGTCCCCACGGGAGTCGGTCCGAAGCAAATTTAAGGAATTACATATTTTGACTCTGGCAAGTCAATACATTTATGAGAATATTTTGTATGTGCGGAAAAATATAGATATATATTAAAAAGAATAGTAGCTTCCATAAATATAGTACTCGTAATAAAGACAAAATTAGCGCACCAACCAGAAGGCCGCAAAAAAACGGTAATTTTTTCCCCGGGAAATTTTTTTTTTTTTTCCAAAAAACCCCGGGGGGAAAAAAGGGGTTTTAAAAAAAAAAATTTTAAAATAAAAAAAAAAAAAAAAAATTTTTTAGGGTTTTTTTTATATAACGAATATTTAAACGATCCTAGTGCTTGGATATGAGTTGCTCCAGTATATATTATAGGTAACACGACTGAATCTCTCGGCTGCATTTCCAGACTCTGGGGCGATCGTCAACATCCACGACTGTTTTAATGTAAAGTGGGAACAAACCGTGATCCATGTGGTATCCAATTATTTCAGTATTATTATTATTTTCTTATGTAGCCAAGTCCACATTTCAAGGATCGTCATGCTCGCTTAAATGTCATTGCTTGTGGCGGCGTCCATGCGTCGGGTTGTCTCTCTCCCTAAAATATGGCGAGGGGGCCGATGGCTGGCCATGCGTCATACTCGTGAACGGGTGCTACTTGTGGTGACTGGTCGTACTTGAATTCGTGTATGCGGTGATGTTCATTATTTCGACTATGTGTTTGCGTGTTGTTCCCACGAGAATGTAAGTGCGTGCTCCTATTTCACCATGCCTCCTGCTGATAGGGGACAAGTCTTTGTTTTTATTTATGTTATTATTATTAATTACTTAAAATGTCATGTGGAACATGGTGTAATGGTTGCAGCTCCTTACAAACGTTGTGTAAAAAAAACAAAAAAAACATGGCGATTAAAAAGAGTGGCGGAGAGTTTATTGCCAGTTCTTCTCTTCCGTTCTACGCCCTTGATTTGAGAACTGGCAGTAAATGTAAAATTAGAAGCATTAATATTTATTTCTTTAATGACGAATCACAAGTGTACATTGTGTTACCTACGTGAATAAATGATTTTTGAATTTGAATTTGAATTTGAGTACACATGTCAGAAGTGAAACTTCTTTGGCAAACTAATTTTTAACTCTTGTTCATATTTATACAAATCTAAAACTTTAGATTTCCGAGACTTAGAGGGAGAGAAAAAGGAAGATATGTTAGGAATTTAATGAATTTTATTGTCATTAAAATATTAAGTGTAGAAAATTAATACAAATAATATATTTTTTTTAATTAATAATAAAAACACGGGCAATTTAATTTACAATTTCATCATTTGAGATTTCAATAAATTATTTTGCATAAAATATAAAATACTAATATTTTATAAATTCTCTTTACGAAATTTTATTTTTAAAAATAGAATTTCTATTAGGTAATTCACTCTTCTCACTCTCTCTCAATCGGTCTTAATCGCTCTCTCCAATTTCTTCGACAAAAACGCTGTACATGTTCGTGTCGTTCCGTAAAAATTTTACCCTCATGCGCCTAATAACGTTTCACTTCAAAAATTATTGGGAAAAATATTAGGAACACAGTTATTGCCTTTACACAAGATTTCTCTTTTATCGAAAGTCTCTAGCTAACCACCACTTCTGTAAAACAAGCCAAACGTTATGTAAGTAACAAATTCGCGTTATATCCGTTATACATTTTTAGGTCATTTAATGTCACTGGATTCTAAAATCTAAAAACAACAGATAATGCAATGCAAATTTTCCATTAGTAATATATGTAAATATGCTAAAAATGGTTGCACAACTTCAAACATTGCACAGCTTCTTGGCTTCTCGAGACATCGCGAACACTCACGTCTTGAAAACGGGGCTTGTTTCAAAAAAGGCGAGACAAATCCATCTGGCGTTAACGTCGACCTTTGAACCCAAATTGTAAAATCAATAAAAATCCATAACAATTGATAAACATAATAATTTATTAAGTTTATCTTCCCGGACAGATACACATTTTTTATTTCTATTTAAAAACATTTGTGACGGTGGAAAACAAATTGGTCACAATGTCTCGGTCCACCTAAGCGTCGACTTAGAATTATTATAGTATTAAACTAAAAATAAATTAAGTAATAAATTTAATTAGATAAATAAAAAAAGGCATAATAGCATTATTGCTTCGAGTGATAACATCCTTATCAATGCTAGAAAGTAAGAACGACGACAATCGACGTCAACAAGACGTTGTTCTAAAAAAAAGGGTGTGTGTGAACTTATACGCATATTCGCGCGTAAGAAGTTATACTTCTTTGGCATTATTAAAAATAGTTTTTGATTGCATGCAAATAATTAATTACAATTAAATAATCAAAGACTGGAAAAGGAGTCATTATAGTCAATAAAGTTCAGTTTACATTTGACAAATTAAATAAATAAATATTTATTATTATTCTCTTACATTAAGTGCATCGTAAAATTTCTCTCTCATCTATTTTTCATAACGCGCCTAAAGAAGTATAACTTCAAAAATTACAGGACTCCTCTATTTTTTTTTTGTTCTAAAAGCCTTTATAACGCGTCACGTGACGAGCTCGTCGTCTTTTTAACGTGAAATCGGCGATACCGGATCAGCCAAAGAAGCCTTTGTCTAGCGCAGGTTTCATCACGGTCTGTCCCCAAGGTCGGAAGGTCTACCTGACCGGTCATTCAGTGGTAGTGCGAAGCTCGTGTGAACGTGCTTACAGGCTGGAAAATGAGGGTTTTTATATTAGTAGCGTTATGCGCTGTTGGTGAGTTGAATTTTATTATTTTGGTTTTAATTTGCATATAATAAATTCACGTGAAACAACTGTCTTTTGTTTATGTTAGAATAATTTAACGCATTAATATAACGTTTAAATAACCGTTTCAAACATTAAAGAAAATGTCGAATTTTACATAAATTATTAATTTAAAATTAATTATTTTATAGCTTATATTTTATTAAATATCTAGGTATATGTACCTAAGAATTATTACTTTGGTATTTATTATTATAATATAGAGATGACTGACCACTGACACACATACATGTACATAATAGGTAATAATTATTGTCCCTTCTAAGTATCATTGCAAGACTATCCGCTAATACGCTTTATAATATATTATTTTGTGGATGTCTATATACGAGTCAACTTTTCAATAGTAAAATCAGCTTTGTAGACGCACAAGAATAATGTTACGGGTTCTCCTCACATGCCAAATGACATGGTGTCTGGTCCCCACCATGCCAAAAAAACTGATGATTTTTTTTGCCGATCGCATTAAGGGGTTGCGGAATATCCAACCATGTATAGTGTGTATTACTTTATAGAAAAAGTTCGTAACGTCCTGCTAAAAGTCAAAAATTCATATAGAAATACGATTTAAAGGAGGAAGGATTTTAAATTCTCTAATTATGCCGTGTGTTTCAATCTCATTCTGATTAATTAGCATTTCAAAGTCATAAATCAAGAAGTTCGATTGGGGACCTTGATTTTTAATAATCTTAAATCAAAGGATATACGCAGCTGATTTTATATGATCATAATTTAAATATTAAAAAGATAAATCAAAGATTAACCTAACCTTAATAGGCTTAATAACATAATTTTTTGATTTGCAACTATATGATCTAAAAGTCATCGAAGTAGATATAGTATTATATTACCGTTTACATATTTTCTTATATTTGCATTCAAAGATAAAGCTATAGACAATCTTGACCATTGCTTAAAAATAGGACCTAGCAATAACATTGATATACTTAGTAACAGTTGTTTTTGATTTAGCTTATGGACAGATGCTTTCTGACGATTCGCTGAACACCCAAGAAGATGAATTTGCAATAGAAGAAACAGGTGGCATTGAAGAAAACGGTTTCAGTTTACGAGAACAAAGCGACGTAGGAGTTGCGAGTCAAGATAATGCTGCTGCTTTACAAGAAACAAGTGATACTGGAAGTGCAAGTCAGGACAATGTTGCAAATATAGAAGAGTCTGTTGATGCCAATAGTCAAAGTGTCAACTTAAAAGAGACCAGTGACTTAAGTGATGGTGGAAACGAAGCTAGTCTTACCGAAACGGGTGATGTTGATAATGCTAGCGAATTGAGTGATGATGGTGACATCAGTAAAGTAATCGAAGGTGGCGATGTCGGCGGCGAGTCATCAAAATATCAAGCACAGGACCAGTATGAGGCTCAATCAGCTCCACGTGCTTTAAGCAGTAAAACATGTATTGAGAAGAACGAGCGTTATTCAATTCCTGGAAGCTGCGACAGATATATTGAGTGTTTGGTATGTATATTATTACAAATAATATAAAATGCGAATGTTTGTCTGCAGGTTTTACTCTGTATTATGTATATTTCTCTTACTTTGAGGACCTTGGCCTCAGATTTTTGTTTAATTTATTTCGTAATCCTACAGCTAGCATAAATTATATGTAACAAAAAACAATTTTACTAAAGATATAGCCAAAGATCAAATACATAATATATACAAACATGTTTAAACATTTACGAAAGGAAAACTCAATTAAAAACCTTTAACTAAGTTATACCTAATTCTGCTGTGTTGCGTGATAGTGTAAAAGTGAGGGTATGTACAATGTACGTGAGGATATTGTGTATGTGGGGTGTGCTCATGTTGACGTGCTTAAACAAGTCAAGGCTTAAAAAAGTCGTCGTAGTATTTCCTTGATAATTTTTCTAAGCTTTCTTTTGTTTTTAACATATAAAACAATAATATATATAAATAATCCATTTTTGTCATATAAATAATATTATGTACGTGTTCATGACCCGTTATAATGCGCAATATTTAAGGTTACGCAAGGATAACAACATGGCCTTACCGAAAAGTCTGGTTAACAGACAGCTTCTTCAAATAAACAATACAAATCACAGATATTAAAGAAATTATGTTGAATGCGTTATATAAATATATTTTAAATACAATCGACAAGTACTAAGAATAACTATTCAGTAAGACAACCAATATATAGTGATTCAGGAGTAGAGTTAAAGTATTTGACGCTTCAATCATCAATTTCAGTTCTCAGAGGAGATTGCAAGAACATAGAGCAGATACAAATGCTACGTACATTTTTACAAATTGTAAATTTTTTATTGACTATCAAAATACTATTCGTCGTCAACACGTTTTTATATGGATATTTACTAGTTTAACATTTTCTCTACATAAATACTAAAATGTTATCCAACAAAACATTTGTAAAGGTTATGCTTCCGTAACAACGTTCCGTAATAAGAGACATCTCTTCCATTGTACCTAACCTGTTTAACAACTGCCGTAACTCGTAATCTTTAGGATTGAAATATTTAGGTAAATTAAAATATTAACAAATTTTAGCGTTAAGCTACAAAAACAGTTAATTCCTTGAAAGACCGCCACTTTTTCAACATGTAGAAAGGCTACATAAATAACAACTAATAATGTAAAATGTAATATTCTTTTAAAGACAAATTTGCGCGCCATTGTGTGTGGCAGAATATGCGAACTTACGATTGTACCACCTTACACATTTTTGTATATTCTTGCAATAAATTATTATTATGATTGTTATTAGTATTATTAAAAACTAAATATTTAATAAACTTTTATTTGTATAGAACGGCACAGCAGAAGAAAAGTTGTGTCCTGATGGTCTCCGATACAATCCCAATGTAAAGTTCAACGTCTACCCATGTCAATATCCCAACGACGTGCCATGTCTTGCCAGATCTTCTTTACGTAAGTTATCCACAGCATATATAGTTCCCGCCAAATAAGTTGACAGGAGTCATTGTTCTATGTCGCAGCCAACTAGCTTAATTAGCTGTTCAATCAACAGCCTCGCCGCTTTACTAAACAGCGCCGTGAAGCGGCCTAAGTAACTTAAATCAAGAAAGAATACAAGCACTTGCCTAGCCTGTTCATTTCAATTTAGATCTACTTTCTGCCACCATATTACATTTCCATAGAACAGTAATATGTCTAATCTGACACTAAAAATCACTTAATTTTTAGTCAGAAAATCATTTGATTTAGTGTCAGATGTTTCATCTTTTTTATTTATATCACATGGTCATCGCATCGTACGAATGGCTTTAGCATTAGCCAGCCAGTTTATTAAATGTTATAACAAATACTACTAATTAATAAACCAATTAATCTGCATGCGATACATAGATGCAGATTTTTCCGTTCCCACACATTCTACAGAATATACGATTTATTTATTTGTTTCGCTAAGAATCAAGCCTTAACTTTCAACTTAACAACTAAAATCTTTAAACAAAGTTGTTTGATCCAAGGGATATGGCGAAGCCAGTTTGAATTATTATGAAGTAGTAAAACTTAATTTTATAAATGACGAATATATAAAATTAAGTCCTAAAACTGTTTAATCTGTCGTGCATCCAATCAAATTTTATTTTGACACAAATTTGTTGTTCAACCTTGAACTTTAATTTAAAAACTAATTATAATTCACGGCGCAAAGTCAAATCAAGAATTGATATCAGGCATGACCCATGTGACAAGATCGTGGTATGAGAATAAAGCCAACAGGAAAAAAATCAAAGCCTATGTAAGCAAGGAATATCAGATACATGATGTTAGGAGTATCCTGTTTAACATCGGCTCTATACGTAAAATCTATGGATAAAGTAACAGAACGGAACATATATGGGTATATAAACACTCGTCACCTTAACAAAACCTCGAAGAAGCCTGGAAAGTGTCCAGGAAACTTCTGAGCTTCTGGACGGACCTAGGCTGGCTTAGTTAGCCAGGCACTACGGACCAAATGGGCGTCTAAGTGCAGAAACTGAGTCCACACTACACTACCCTAACAAAAGGAAGAAATTCAATTCTGATTTGGCTGTTGAAATAATATTTAGAAACTTAATGCTAAGTCAAAAGTGTTGGATTTTGACATACGAGTCATAGTTCGCACTAAGTCTTGTATTGTCTCATTGTACAATTGGTCTCTTTATTCTTTATTGATACGATCTAACTAATCTGCTATAGGAAATATATAATATATATATTAAGGAATAGTCTTTCAGTTCTAATGAAAAAATATTTCAGAAACACCTCAGGCTACCGCCGACTGCCCTCATCAGTTCGGGTACTTCAGAAGCGGTGATTCTAAGAACTGCGGTACTTTCAAGAACTGTGTAAATGGAGTTGGCTATGACTTCAACTGTCCAGAGGGTTTGGCGTTCAGCTCTGAAACCTACCGATGTGATTGGCCTGACCTAGTCCCTGAATGTGATGTTGAAGGTAACAATTTCATCAATTTTATTACCTTGGTATCTCTAGATAATGAGTGAAATTCGAATGTTAAAAAAAATCAAATCAATATTTTTGCCTACTTAATTGTACATCATCGGTTGTGTTCGTCATTTAACAACTTCTATAATCACACTAAAAGTATATACGCGCCTTGTTTTGAAAAGAACAAGCCCAGAAACTCTTCCGGGCTCTTTTGAAAAATTTGGTTTAAAAAATGTCGCCGAACTAAAATACTATGCTACTAAAATTTCCATTACTATGTTGTGAAATAAATATTTTTAATGTTGCACAAATATTTACAGCTTTCCTCGGTTTCCGTTGTCCGGAAGTGAGAGTTTCAGAAGAGCTTGGTCCTCCAGCTGGTTTCAGGTTTTACAGGTGAGACAAAGCATTTATTTCTAAAATCAAAAACTTCAATGCTTTTTTTTCTTCTTACTTTCATAATAATAAACATTACTCCATTAAAAGTGACCCCCATGCCCTATCGTAGTCTCCTCCTATATAGCCTAATACAGGAGGTTATTATACATATTATTATAGATCAATATTTTTTACCGAGTAAACAATTTGTTATTTATATTATATAACGAGATGATCTGTAAAACCCTGTAATTTTTAAATGGAAAAAGCAATCTGCAAGAATCCGTTTATAATTATAGAAACAATAATCATAACTGGTTACCTGGTGACCGGTCAGCGGTCATTCTAAATGTCAACGATGACTCGGCCTTGGCTTTATATAAGTATTAGACATACCAGGCATTTACAATATGTGGACACAAATTCTAAGTTAGCAAATAGATTTAAACGCAGGGCTGGCATTGAAAAATAATTCATACAAAATTTAGATTCTATACGTCAGTGGCGTCATCTGACAGTAGAACGAATTATTTTTAGTATGAAGAAGGTGTTGGCCTAGTGGCTTCAGCGTGCGACTCTCATACCTGAGGTCGTAGGTTCGATCCCCGGCTGTGCACCAATGGATTTTCTTTCTATGAGCGCATTTAACATTTGCTCGAACGGTGAAGGAAAACATCGTGAGGAAACCGACATGTCTTAGACCCAAAAAGTCGACGTGTGTCAGGCACTGGAGGCTGATCACCTACTTGCCTGTTAGATTTAAAAATGATCATGAATCAGATTCAGAAATCTGAGGCCCAGACCTAAAGAGGATGTAGATTGATTGACTGATTATTGATTTATTTTTTTGTGAATCTTTATTTAAATATTGTTCTCAATAATAATATTTAGTTCATTAAAAGATGTTTACGGTAAAAATAATCTGAATCATTGTCTTCACATATAATTATTTAACAAATGTAACAAAATATTGTAAACCTATTTTAAAAAAGAGTAAGTGTGGAGTTTCTTGCCCATTCTTCTCCACACGAAACTACCTTTTGGAAGGGGCAACTAGAATCATCTTTATATTTTTTTTTTGACGTTCAAAAGTGCCATTTTAGTGGTCTAATTGAAATAAACATTTGACTTTGACTTTGAAATATGATCACACGTCACTTTAGGGCATTATTTTTGATAACTTGAAGCATCTTAATATTCAGGAAGTACGTGATATAGCACAAATTAATTTATTTTAATTCCCAACGCGGACTCAAAAAATGGCCTTGTTTTTTCAACCTTGCAATAGAGGTATAATAACTTTAGTAAGTATAAATAATTAAATTGTTTTTATTAATTAATTAAATATATTATTTATCAATTATAATTGAAATATTTTAACTATTAATATTTATTTTCCTATATTACATATTTTTACAATTTAATCATGAAAATATTGAGTGAATCAATTCACGCAAACAGATAACGAATACTTTCTCACCTTCAAAGCGAGATGGAAGTACGAATATAAAATTTTAAAAGTTGATATATTTATGATCAGAGTGGTCGATTAAATTATGCATATTAGATTCATAATTATTTTTTATTATTATATTATTCATGAAACGCCTTCCACTGCGAGCGGAACGGACCCATTACGGACTCCGCTATACTCGTAACGATGACTTTCATACATTTTCATTTTCATTTCCGTTGGAAACTTGGTCAACTCGCTAACCTCATATGTGACTCTTTCAACTCGCTCTCTCCGCTGCGCTCGTCTCCGCTTTCGTGGAAGCACATGTATGAAAATCATCGTTACGTGTAAAGCGGAGTTCGTAATGGGTCCGTTCCGCTCGCAGTGGAAGGCGGGCATTACTCAGAAACGCACATACGAAGATGTTCCGGCCTGCATGGATAAACAACTTTTAAGCCAGAGCCACGGGGGTAACCCCACGACGGCCCAAGCCGAGGTCCGAGTCTCGCAGGAGACGCCCTTGCGCTTGTCGCGGGAAAACCCATTCCGTAAAAGCCCGAGCTGAACTGTCAAGGGTCTTCAGGCCAACAGCGAGATTCCAATCCAAAAAAAGAGCCACTGGGGCGTTCGGGCTGGCCAGTCCGTGGTTGGACTGCTTAAGGATCCGACCTAAAGGGAGGAAATGTTCACCAGCTCTCCTCCGACAAACAATTATATTAACTTATTTAAAGAACGGTGCCACGTTATGTACGTGCTACGTACTTTAAACGTTAAATGTAGCATATAGCAGTGAAAGATTTTTTTAGTCGGCTCGAAAGTGAACATACTTATGTGTAATATAAGTCTCTGTTAACTGTTAATGAGAGTTTCTGAGTATGGCTGTCGATTTTTGAATATTAGGCACTAGAAATCTATAAAACACTTTAAATAAAAATTTTTAACACAGATGTTATTTCAAAAATATTAGAAATACTATCGAGCTAATAGAGACGAATATTTTGTACCCCAAGCATAATGCTAAATACGTAGTCGGTCCCAAAGTTCTGTCATAAATGGAATAATGATAAAAAAAAATCTTTCAGTTTTTAATGAGTGATATACTAATTTATAGTACATTAATTAAGGAATAGAAATAGATAAAATTATTCGAAATGACCTCCCTTATTTTTAATATTGGCCCTTAAGCGCCGCGGGCAGTCGTCTATCGCACACGCACCATATTCGTGTCGATTTCAGTGACTGCTTTTATTTAAAGATGACTTCAGACTCTCCAAATTTTTATGTGGTATGCACAGCCTTCCTCTCTAAGACCTGCGAAATTTTATAGTCCAAAGATTAAGGCCGACTGGAGAAGGCCAATCCTCATGTCTAATTAAGTCGATGTTTTGACGCTCAAACCAGGCTTAAGTGGTCTTGCCTGTGTGGGTAGGCGCAGAGTCCTGCTGGAACACAAGTGATGTCCCGCAATAGCGTGCTGGGCGTTCTTTGACAAGCCGATGCAAAACCGTATCTTGGTACACTTTTGCACTGGTTTTGACCCCCTTTATGCAAATATCATTGGCTCTATAGGACCTCCCAACCGACCTTACTGATGATGGAGATGTCCATGTTGCACCCTTGGAACTTTATTTCCAGCTTCTTCAGAACTTCTGGCGTACACTCTATCATTCTGTTTATTGTACTTCTCTTCAATTCGAAATATTTTTCATCCGCAAAGAAGATATCACGGTGTCGGATTTTCGCGTACCGCTTTAACAACACCCGCGATCTCTTAAGCCTTATTGCTTTTAGAAGAGTATTAAGTAAGTGCCCACTCTTTTTGTATGCTCTGCCAAGTCTTCATTTAAAACCTTTTTTACTATTTTCCTATTGACCCCCATCTGCAAAGCCATCAACTTCTGTTTTCGGACAGAATTTCTTGCTATCTGCGCCATGATAGCTTTGATTACTGCTGGTGTTCTTGCGGAGCGCGGCCAGCCAGTTATTTTACTGTCCTCAACACTGGAGACTTCATTGTACCTATCAATAGTACGGTACACAAACCTAAGCGTTATATTCAAATTTTTTGAGCCCCTTGAAAATGGTACTCGGCGAGTGCCCACAGCGGTGCAACGCATTAACGCCTATTCGGTTTTCTTTCAATGTCCACTCCATCGTGAAAAATTACGGAAAGTGATTGTTTTTTGTTTTAAAATAATAGTCAAACATTCAAAAATATAATATTATATTTATTTTATAAAATCATGTTCAAATTTAAAAATAATGTGACAGTAGAACTTTGGGACCAACTACGTACAGTGCCTTAATAAATTAATTTATGAAATGCAATTACGTCTACCAAAATTTAAAATAGGTTTATAAAACTAATATTTAATTATACTTAATTTCGCTTGAACAATAAGCATTTTTTTAAATAAAGAAAGAATTGGTTCGTTACACAACTGAGCGATTCTTAAGGCAATTTCTGCCGCGCACCACCACTATGTGGAACTAGCTGCCCACTGAAGTATTTCCGAACCAATTCGGCTTGGGGTCCTTCAAGAAAAGAGCGTACCAATTTTTAAAAGGCCGGCAGCGCGCTTGCGTGCCTTCTGGCAGTGCGAGTGTCCACGAGCGGTATCACTTAACATCAGCTGAGCCTCCTGCCCGTCTGCCTCCTGTAACATAAAAAAAAATACCTTAAGCTCAAGCGACAAAAACAGTTTAAAATGTATGAGAGCTTGAAAAAACGTGTCCCATAACCCATTTAGTACTACATATTTTAATAATCAACTTCTTCAGAATAAAACATTTGATTTTTTATTTCCAGATCTGCAGAGGATTGTCAAAAATACTTTATATGTATCGATGGCAAACCTAGGCGTTTATCATGTGGAGGATACAACGCTTTCGACGAACTCACCGAAAGCTGTGTCGCTGCCGACGAGATTTCCGCTTGTCCTTCAGAACTAAGAACACAAGCCGAACGTTCCAGAAAAGCTGAGTCCCAAAGACTTACCGCTGAGAATGCTATAAGTGGCTTCCGGAAGGCTCTAGAAGAAGTCACTACGTTCGCTCCGTACGATGATATTCGCAGTGAGAATTTACGAGGAGAAGATGAACAGATCATAGACAATAATGCAGAAGAAGAGCAACCGGAAATATAAGACCTCCATACCTCTCGTAGACATAGAGAATGCACCGCTATATTCTAAGGTTATTTGAATAAAGAACAAGTGCTACACGAGACATCTTGAATTAATGCAATGTTATAGATCCAGCTTTTACCCAACTCCTGATGTCCCATGTCTCAGTCATTCTCTATGTTACCTCGTTGTTGTAAATAATTTAAATTTAGTACATCATTCTACTGTGCAACTTTAGTCATTTTAAGATTTTGTTACCATGTACAGTTATTGCCTATCTTATCATTAATTATAAAATTCCTGTTTAATGTGTGTATCAATTTTTCGTCTAATTATTCTTAACGATAAGTTCAACCACAAGTATTTGAAGCTTCAGTATAAAATGGCATTTCGAAATGGAATCGATGTCAAACACACGGTACTAGTCTTTGTAAAAAGAAGTGGACCAGTAAAAAAATGTTTAAATTTGTTCTTATCGGGTTGATGGTGGTCTGTGGTAAGTATTATTACCCATATAATAAAATGCTTAATGTATTGAAATACTTTTTGAATTTACAATATAATCAAAATTTATTTTATTATAATTCTTAATTTAATAAAAAAGGGACGTTAGTGCCATTTTTCTTAATCGTATCAAAGTTTTAATTAGTCTTTTAAATTAAATTTATAATATAATATTATAATTTTTAATATAATGTCAGTTTTTCTGAATATCTTTTGCTTCTGATAGGACAAAAGTGTTTCGATTAATGCCTTTAAATTAATTTATAGGTTACTCCGTTGTAGCGGAAATAACTCCGCCTGTTTTAGCCATAGACCCCACACCACCACCATCACATCCAAAGGGTTGTATCCGCCGAAACGCCTATATTCCAGTCGAAGCAGAATGCGATGCCTACGTCGAGTGTAAAGTAATAATCATAATCACAGTAAATATATTACATTGCCTATTTCCCAATAGCCACGTTTGTATATCTTTTATTTATAAATTCCTAGGATTTCATGCCAGTTCAAATGAATTGCCCGGACGGACTCCACTACGACCCCAGAGTTGAATGGCCAAACTACCCTTGTGGATATCCCATGGATGTACAATGTGTAGGCCGGAATTTACCCCGTAAGTAAACTAATAAAATAAAAATCACTTAAATGCGTGTCTGTGACGCCATTTAAATATAGGTAGGTAAGTCTCTAGAATATTTTGTAGTCGTATTTTAAATGAATAATTTTTATCTCATCTCCGTGTCGCTTGACTATAATCAAAAGTGCCGTACCAGTAACGACAATTTAATAACATTGCCTAACTCTTTTAACGAAATATATACATACTCGTTTCATTACTATTTAATATTAAGCTTTACGTTTTCACCGACAGACATGGCAGCCAATGTACACAGTGAAAACATAAATATACGACCAAATTATTTGCCAATAAGCTATCACCATGATTAATTTCATTAACATCTATTTACATTTAATCTAATTATGATCCCAGATACTAGAATATACTTAAGAAACTTGCACAATCATAATGTGTATTTACATCCATAGAGGCCGCAAAACCAAACCCCGACTGTCCTCACCGTTATGGCTACTTCCCATCTCCAGTCGCCGCTCCAAATGACTGTGGCCAGTACCGCTTTTGTCTTGATGGCAAGCCCATTGAAATGGAATGCCCTACTGGACTAGCTTTCAACCCTGACTCCGGTCGCTGTGATTGGCCGGGACTTGTCAAAGCTTGCAATGTCGAAGGTAAAAATATATAATCGATTATATTTCGATGTCTATTAAAAATATATTTGATAGTCGTTAATTGGAATGGTGATAGCTTAATTACATTATTATTGGTTTATTTGCTTAATTTAATAAGAAAATTGTTACATATGTAATAGTATCTGTTATGATTTACAGCTTACCTGGGATACAAATGCCCTCCTGCCACATACGACGAGAGTGGAGACCCAATTGTTACAAACCACAGGTAAAATATAAAATAACTAAACTTAGACGATGAAACTTTGTAGGTCAAATTACCCGCGAAAATCAACCATAAATTGATTAGATACACGTTCTTTAGTCTATGTCAATTAATACTAATTCTGACAACAGGGACACGTTCAAATCATATGACTCCACTTTTTAATGTTTTGATTATTTACAGGTACAAGGGTAGTTGCTACGCTTTCTACTCGTGTCAAGGTGGTGGTCACCCTCGCCTGCTCTCCTGTGACGCTGGCTTCGCTTTCGATGAAGCCGCTGGCAGGTGCGAGGATGCCGACAAAGTGCGTTGTCAAGACAACGCATCAACATCTGCACCTGCATTAGAATAATGATTAAAACAGATTTGAATAATAAATTTAAACAGTAATAAAACTTTTATTTTCAATGAAAAAGCAGCGAAATAATGTCTGTCTTAAACGTAAAAGAAAATATGTAATGTTTGATAAACTCCCTAATTGTTCTCCTGGAACTCCTAGTTGAAACGCGATGTAGCGATTTTGATGGAGTAAAATTAAAGAAAACGTGATAATTGTATACAAACATAATAAATAATAATTGAGCAAATTATGTAAATTAAAAAAAAATCCGGTGACGCTGCTGTAGTCTAAGAGCATGGGCTAAAGATCACGATATAACGAGCGGTGGCGAGCACTGGACGTCTTCAGCACCACTTAGACCAAGAGACATGCAAGAATAAACAATATGTTAATATTGCATTAACATTAGCATTAACATAACATTAATTTGACAATTAAAATAATAAAAAACAATAACTAACCTTAAAATATAATAACTAAAATATGTAAATAAAAGGAGCCCCTTTAGGCAAGGTTCCAAAGATACTAGCAGCGTTCCCTCTTTGAATTGCTAGACTAAGTCTTTGTCCGAAATAGCTGCCAGCTCTGTGCTCTCCTGTGATGTCGACTAACCTTTTTGCTATATCCTTAAAAAGCCTTAGCGCTAGGACCCCACGGACCAAGGGTGTCGACACCGAATTAACAATACATCAAAATATATACAAAAAGAAAACACACACAGGTGTCACTTATTCCACGTCATTAAATTTGAAAAGGTAGACATCCCTACTCATCGGCAAAGAAGGCAGAGGGTGTAGGCTGAGAGAAAAAGCCGGCATAAAAAACTCTTGGTACTCTTTTAAAATAGCAAATCATCAAACAACACTTATTTTTAAACAAATATCGCAAATTAATTAGAAGTAGCCTGTCTAGCACTAGCCCCAGGCCCTTTATACTCTTATCTTATACTCGTACTGTGTAAATCCAGACAATAAAATAAAAAACCTCTTCATGTTGCAAGAAATCTATTTGAAGTAAATTTAAAAAAAGATTGGAATGGCAAGTCTTTTTAATTGTAACGTCTTTTTACTATATACTAACTTATAATTATTATACATAATAAATTTGCATGTCGCTCCCTTAGTAATACAAGGGCCTAACTCGAATTTTTGGTGAAGTGAGATTTTGAATGCTAAAGCATAAAATGAAATTATCTAGCGGTCAGTAATAGGTCGCTAAACATATTTGCGCCTCTCTCAAATTCTCACACTAACTCTCACATATGGCCGCGCGGTCCCCGAACTTATAATTACATACTGATACAAGTTACTAATTATTATCCATACTAAGTGTCCATATTTAAATGAGTAAGACTGTACAATTATTGCGGAATTCGGGTTTATATCCTTCTATGACAAAAAACTGATGAATTTCATTACAACCGTTTAGAATTCTAAAGAACAATTAGTAATTGAATCGATATATTATACAAAACGAAATTTGTAGGCCTATGTAGTAGATCCCTATATTGCCAAACCTGCAATGGTTACAAAGAATTATTCCTGACTGATTCTATATATTATTGTGACTTTAATAAAAACTCAAACTCAAAATAACTATTCATATAGGTAAACAAATACACTGATGAACGTCAACAGAAAAGATGTTAAATTGATTATAATTTTAAATTTACTACCAGTTCGCAAGTCAAGGGCGTAGAGCGGGCAAGAAGAACTGGCAAGAAACTCTCCGCCACTCTTTTTAATCGCTAAGTTTTGAGTCATACAAATTGTTTGAATTGGAGCAAATCAATCCCAAGGATTAGCATCATTTAAATAAGTATTCGTCAGATTTATAAAAAGCTTTATTTATTAATTTATGTTTGAGAGCTTTGTATTTATTCAGTGATAACTGCGCTTGGGAGTTTGTTGAAAAAGTATTTTATTCAAAAAGCAAGCAGGAGAAACAAATAAAAATCAGGTTCGTACATTTATCAGAAAATACTATAACATCATCGTAAGCTTGTAGGACGATGCGATGGGGCATGTTTGTAGTTATTCAATAGAATGACACGTTATTTTAATGAAATCTCGTTGTTGACCAGAATGGCCTTGTCAGCTCAGCTCGGGCTGTTTTGGCGAACGTAGCTCTGCTTTTTCCCACGACTACCATACGTCGTTTCCTTTGAGATTCGTCTAACGCCTGAAGAGCAGGACGGAAGCTCACTGTAGTGAGCGAAGTAAGGAACCTCGCCTTCCCCGGTGAAGGAGGTCTTTTACCTAATTTGAATTAGCTTTTAAATTGTCATTGGCTAACGTGATGGGATAATCCGAATCCGTTAAAATGTGTCGGAAACTACGGGCTCTTGTTGTCGGGAAGGGAACGTAACTCAACGGATGTCTATAGTTGAACTATGCTGTCGGTGAATAATCAAGAACGCGTTTTCGTTTTGAAAGTTCAATGCTAGATATAACAAAAAAACCGAAATCGCTAATCGTGGTAGATGCAATGAAAAAAAGGGACCTCATAATTCGACGACGTATTGTATATTAACTCTTATTGACACATTTATCTTTTGACAATATATATTTAGCATAAAATAGTGTTCTGAAAAGCAGTGTTTGCCTAGTGTCTTCAGCGGCGTTGCACCAATGGTATCTGACTAGTTGCGCATACCCTTGGTAATACGGTGAAGGAATCTTGAGATGATAAACAAATAAATACTAAACACATACACAAATCTGTGCCCCGAACTTAAAAGGTTGTAGTGACAGTTTTTCGTTCGTGTGGCAAATGCATCGCACGATACGTCTTTATATGTACAACTATATCTACAAACCATCATTTTTTCAATCATTTTGATTTGATTTAGACAAATTCTAATCTAACTGTAAGTACGACGAATCTCGTCAGTTAGGATTCGATTTTCTAAATTGGCTATCTGCAACACGACCGAACAATTTCATTATTTTTTAAACATTAATCATACTTATATATCCAAAAATAAAAGAATGGAGCACAAAATTTACAATAAATCCTGATATGAACCCTTTTTAATTTTGTCTGGTACTTTATATCAAAACTCAAGACAACACTTTTTACAATCTCTATTTACTATCTCTAATATCTATTAAAATAACTGTTAAACGTGGAATGCAGTTAAATTAATTGGATAGTCAAAATATATTATGGTTTGGTAATTGTTCTAAAACCGCATTCATTAATATCACCACAATAATTCATTAATTCTAACGTATAAAAATTTTGGTTGAACCAATATCTCATCATTCAGAAATCGTGTACTCTCAAATTCAGTAGTGCAGAAGAATTTTCATAATGTTTTGCTTTACGATTCTCGCCGCTGTTCTCATTGCGACAAGTAAGTGTAATATTTAAAAAAAAAAATTTAAAGTGTGTTTTGCTTGCTTACTACTACTAAATATAATTTAGGCTTTGCTGCTGAAGAAGTTGCACCATCCGTCGCACCATCCGTCGCACCATCAAAACTAGCCACGCCATGTTCTCGCAGGAACCTATACGCTAAGGTAGAGGGCCAGTGTGACGCCTATCTAGAATGCATAGTAAGTATTACTCCAGAACGAAATAGAAAACATAAATAGGAAGTTCATAGAATAGGGAACAAAAGACAAGTTATTAGGTCCGTTGCACAAAGATTTTTCATATTTATTTTCTGTTTTCTTGTTAATTTATGTAAAAATATTTTGCTTAAAACGCAATTTCATTTTTTTAGGACTTCGTACCTGTTCAAAAGTCATGCCCAGATGGCCTTCACTACGACGCAAGCGTCCCTTGGCCCAACTACCCTTGTGGCTACCCCACTGACGTGCCTTGCAGAGACAGAAGTGTTGCTCGTATGTATCTGTGTTCACAAGCTACCATTTTAAAGATACATTGATATAATCATTAAACTTTGCGATAATAATTAACCTAACTACTTGCATTTTGAAGTTATACCTACTTCTTTTGGCGCGTTAGGGAAAAATTACGAGAGTAAATTTTTCCGATGAGCGCGGACACCATCACAAAATCCGACACCCTGAAGTTAGCTTTAGTCAACATTTTAGTTTTTTTGAAGTTATACTTCTTTTGGCGCGTTAGGGAAAAATGATGGGAGTAAATTTTTTCTATTGTTAGTGTCGTTTTTTCTACAAACGTAGAATAAGGCGAAAGATAAAATTTTTGAAAAGATTTTTATCTTGTTATGCCAAAGAAGTATAATTTCTAAGGCGTGTACACACACTTTTTTTTTACTCTATTACAGAAGCCCCAAAGCCAACACCCGACTGCCCTCACCAGTACGGATACTTCCCCTCCCCTAGCGCTCACCCATCTGACTGCGGTCAGTACCGCATGTGCATAGCAGGCGTGGCCGTGGACATGGTATGCCCCACTGGGCTTGCTTTCAACTTCGAGACCAGCCGTTGTGACTGGGCCTTCCTTGTGAAGTCTTGTGACGTTGCAAGTAAGTATAAGAAAAAGCGTTTTCTGCCTCCGATTTTATGTTCAGCCGCTCGTTGGAAGTCACCCAAAGTAAAGAATCCAAATGCTTTGACAGATTTTAAATGACAACTAATTCGTGGGATAATTTAGAAGGACATGCTCTATAATTTCTGGTAAAAGTCTTAATGTATTTTTTATGTTTTGTTATTTGAACCTGAATTATTATTTTTCTTTCAGCATTCCTTGGATACCAATGCCCTCCGCCCAGTTTTGACGAGAGTGGTAATCCCGTTGTAACTAACCACAAGTAAGAGTTCTATTAATTTTAAACATATATAAATGAATCATAACAAAAAAATAATATGCAATCTTTATTACTAAAATAATATTTTAAAGTGTGTTCATGACGCTTTTAGTTAGAAAATACCAATTTGAAAGTAATGCCCCTTTAAGATTTGAATTTTTCTTATTATACTATATGTTTTTTAATTCGTAGGTACGATGGTAACTGCTTTGCTTTCTACTCTTGCCAAGAGGGTCGTGCCCGCCTTCTCGCTTGCGACCCAGGTCTGGCCTTCGACCCTATCACTAGCCACTGCGTGGATGCTGACAGAGTGCCTTGTGAAACCGACATCGCTGTTCCGCGATCTTCTCAATCTAAACCTTAATTTTTCAATAAAATATTATAAATATTTTTGTATGATTCTTAAAAAAACTCATTAAACACTACATATAATGGCGGTAATAATACGTAGATTCAAAACAATGAATATAAACTAAATACTGAAAAAGTATTAATTCGGTTAATTTAATAGTATAGTCAAGTACTAAGTTTAGTTTAGTTAAACTAAATTAGACTTGTAGTGTACCAAATATTATAGAACATGCAATTGTTATATATAATAATGAATAAGAAATATTTACTAATGAATAAGAACTTTCACAAATGTATTTAATAAACCTCCGAACCTCAATCCTATACGTCGTAACCTCCCGTATTCGGTATTTTCTTCTTCTTTTCTCGGAATCCAAAGAAAATCCATTTCACATTCCGTAATACCACAGTAGACTGCAAATTAGTTTAGTCTAGTAATTTACTAACTAAACTAACTAACAAAATTAACTAACTAAACTAACTAGTAGTTTGTTCAAAATTGTACAGCTATTACGACGATTATAATATTTATGTTCATATATTATTTTATTTGGTTACTAGTGTAGTAACCTGTAAAAAGTTATAAAATTTTCTATTTCCATAAGATGTGTAACATACTAATGTTGTGACTTGTGAGTAGGTACAATTTATAGTGTTAGAGAGCTGGGAACCCTGGCGCTGGTATCTTTAACTTAAAAAGGTCTATCAAACTACAAAAAATCAATTGCAATTCATTACGTATATGCAACTTATAACAAATAAACATATTTTCACTGAGTATGTTCCATAATGTCGTGGGACATCTCGTGGTGCCTAAACTCAACACATCACAGGGCACTGGGTCCACAGATAAAAGTAGATACATATAATCAAACATAACCATTAAACTATGCCATAATGTAACACTGACATACTCGTAATGATTCAAGATTCTGGTAGTAAGAAAGATACAAAAGATGTATCAGCTAATCTAATTACATATACCTACTTGACATGCTTCGTAAAATCATGAGAAGAGAATCACGATAAAACATATCGCACCATCCTTTCGTATTTTTCATATCCCGTGTATTGGCCACGAAGTTAAAATCAGTGCCGAGCCCATGTCGAGACAATGTAACGCAGTGTTTCCCGCAGTGGGACGCACCACCCCAGGGGCCATTTTATTTTGGGGCTTCGAAATTTATTAAATGTTTTTATTATATGTTTTGAAAATTTACTTGATGTGTTTCGTTAATAATTGCCTAGTGATTTCTTCCTAATACCTATCATTTAAAGGTCTTAAGATAACAATTCATTTTTTTAATATTAAAAGTATGGGGACATAAGAATTTTAGGCTAAGGTGGGCACGGCACAAAAAGTTTGGGAAACACTGATGTAACCCATATTCAGAGTAGAGATAAATCGCTAAGTATGACTCTATCAGTGGTACAAATAAACGTGGTATAAAATGTTATACCAAGAATAAACTAAGAATAAGTAAAATGTCTACTATTAAACCCGGTCGGCGTAACTGTACATACTAGCGTTATTCCAGCCGCCATTCTAGTATAAGTCTGAGACAACCTAAACAGGACTCACGGATTTTTAATGAAAGCCGTTTAAACAATGTTTTGAGAGGGAACAAGTATAATTTATTTACATGTACATATATGTCGAAAATGTAATAGATTTTGACATAAAGGTGCGCTTACACGAGGGCAATAATTTCTCGGCGACACGAATGGACCGATGTGGAGCAATTAATGAAGCAATTTCAGTAAATTCAATAAATTTAAATAAATTATTTCGGCGATATTGCTTCTAATTGCTGCAGATATTTCGTATCTCTCAATGTCGCAGATACGAATTGACGAATATCCAATGGACTTGGAAATTCCTAGCAATTGTTGTATATATCTCATTCGCACTTGTTTGTTTTGCGGCTTGCCGTCTTGCTTCCGCGGGGAGAGCGTTCTGTTCGTGACATTCTAGTAAAGTTCTTGAATAATATGTCATCTAATTTTTTACACAATGAAAATTGCGGCCTCTTTGCAAAATACGATCGCACCCAGATACGCCTATTCCTTTTCGTTCTTTTTTGGTTTTGATAATAATAAAAAAAGCACTACAAGCCGCCGCAGCAAGAACGATGTCGTTCATAGCGAGCGAATACTGAATTGCTCGTGTAGGACAGTATTGCCTAGTTGATGAAGTTGCGCCATATCGCTCAATATTGTATTGCGCAGTATTGATGCTTGTGCCGTTGCCGTAAATTGCTCGATGTAGTCGTGACGTCATAGTTGACGAGTATTGACTGGAATTGAGCAATTTTAGTTGCCCGTGTAAGCGCACCTTAAGGAAGTTAAGCCTCGTCTCTAAATCTAACCCTCAATTGTATTTGTAATAAAAATATTACCAGTAATAAAAACATAAAAACTCTCATATTCACATTGTTACAAGAATAGTGAGTTAATAATGATTAAAACTTCTTATCGGTCATTAGGTTTTTAAAGTCAAGGTGCTTTTATAGCGTGACCGAATATTTAGAACATAAGTTTAACAATTACAAATGACTTGACTTCTTATTATGACAATTTTATGCCTATTTAAATATGGCTGATTGTGTGGACTTTTCTTGTTGTTCGATTTTTTATTTTGTACACTATCTTGGCAAATAAAGGATTTTACATTTAAATGTATCTATATTTCATAGCTAAAAGGCTATAACATTCGCTTATTACCATTAAATATAATATTAATGCCACTAATTATAAAACTAGGTTAATTGTTATGTTACCACCTCTTACTTTATACATATTTTAAAAAAGTACTTCTAAATTTTAAACCTATTAAAATTTAAAACTGGTAGAGCAGTGTAAGCCTGGCTTAGGAATCTCAACCTTCAGGTCGTGATTAGATTTTTTGTTGTTTGATAATATTTTTCAGGCAAGTCAGTGATCTGTCTTCTGTGTTCGTCAAAACACGACGTATTTTTTATACTTTTGCCGGTTGTCGCACGCAGTTTCCTTCACCTTCCAACAATTTAGAAAAATCAAGTTTACCAGATTCAGAGTTAGAATAGACAACATTAGAATGGAGAATCACCCTTAACCACTACGTTATCAGTCTTTTAACACTTGCAATTATATCTTAAGCCGTTATGCATTTAAGAAATGTGATGTGGTTTTCTAAACTATTCTTATAAAATCGGTTTCTCATTAAGACTCATTTACTGATGAGATAGTATATTAGTGAACTAATTCGAACGGTAAATTGGTATAATTCCATTATATAAAAATCAACTTTCATACTGTCTTTACAATTGATCAAATAACGTTGCGTTTATTACCTCGTCGTATTCAATGATTCAATTATGTTAGGAAAAAGATTATTATTTATTTTATTGCCGTTAATTGTCTTGGGTAAGTGATATTTTTTTAATTTAGAATACAGTTATGTCACACAAACATTATTTAACTGACCATAAGTTAATGTTTTATTGGCCATAAATTTACGATGTATTATAATATGTATGTATAGAGATCGTTTCTAGAGGACAGAGGGTTTTATATACTTATAAAATCCAAATACGTTAACTCCGAATATTAGTCAGAAAATATAGATGAATTAAATTTATCGCTTTTTTTGCAGTTAACGGGCAAACTGGTTCCGCCCGAGATTGGAGGTTTAGAAGACCTTCAAGGTTTCCTGCTCGTGTAGTGCCAAGACCTGGTTACGTTTCAAGACCTACAACATTTGTACCAAGACCTGAAATAACAAGTGAGGTGCGACCGCATGTAACCGTTTCTACTACGCATTGGCCATCATCCACTTATTCTCCACCTATACGCGGTCCTTCATTCAACAGGGAACCTAACATTGTATGGTCTAGACCATTCATAGCCAGCTCCCCAAAACCGAAACCAGCCGTCACCGTCGTAGTTCTTCCTGGTTCTCATTCCCATGTACTGCCCACATCACCACGACCATATTATGTATACCCCGAAAAGCCGACTTCAAAACCCGCTGATATTCCACTTGCGCCCGAATCGGACCTATTATATTCAAAACCCGAATCTCAACCACTCAATGAACCTGACGTATCATCCAGTTCTAAGCCGACAAGTGGTGCTTTTGAGCCTGAAATCAAACCTTCTCCAAAACCAGAAACTGAACCACCCTCTATTGAAGTTGAACCTGTATCAGAATCTCCTAAGCCTGAAGTTGTGGTCTCACGTGTTCCTGAGCCACAACCTGAAGTCAAACCTGAATCACAACCCAAACCTCATGTTGAAAATGAAACACCTAGCCCTGAACCTCAGGTGGAACCAAGACCTGAACTAGAAGAAGAACCGAGGCTGAAACCTCAAATAGAACCTAGGCCTGTACCACAAGTGGAACCTAAACCGGAACCACAAGTGGTACCTATACCAGAACCACAATTGGAACCTAAACCTGAACCAGAAGTGGAACCTAAACCTGAACCACAAGTGGAACCTAAACCTGAACCCGAATCTTCACCTGAGCCCATACCAGAAGTTACTTCTGAACGATTTGATGAAGTTGGACTTTCTGGGCCCGAAGCATCTCTGGCTCCAGAGTTACAACCCGGAGTTTCATCATCTTTAAAACCTGTTTTCGAATCAGAATCCTCATCCAAACCTTCAATTGAGCTAGTACCATCCGAGCCTTCTCGTCAATCTTCAACGCCAAGTACATTTCCACTAACACCAGAAGCATCATCGGAGGGCGAGTTATTAGATCACTCAGAAGTTCCGTCTAACCAAATACGACTTAAATATATACCTGGCATTGGTAATTCACGTAATCCTATTTCAGCCACCTGGTCAAAGCCTAGTTGGTTCCCTAAGCCTTCTAAGAAACCCGAACATCCAAATCCCTGGAAACCAACCCCAATCCCAATATTCCATCTACCCTCGAGAATAAGTACCATTCAGCCACAACCAAAAGCTACTCCACAAAAGCCAGTCTACGTCCCTGCACGACCTGTACCAACAGCAAGAACACCAAGCGTTGCTTTTGACGTAATGGCCTTAAGGGATTATCAATGTCATGAGCCTAATGGCTACTTTGCAGTACCAACAGAGTGCGATGCTTTCATAGAATGCAATGTGAGTTTCCGTATATTTAAAATTTTATTTTTCAAATATTGTTGTAAATAAGTCATTAATAACTTTAATAATGTTTGTAGTCCAATAGAGCAAGACAAACTAATTGCCCGGATGGACTTCACTTTAATCCTAAAGCTGTATGGCCAGAATATCCATGCGGTTATCCATCAGAAGTTCAATGTGCCGCTCATTATGCAATACGTAAGTTGGAATATAATATATACTGATGATGTAGTTTTTAAAAGTAAGTAAACATAATCGATATACGATAATCATAGAAGTTTAATTATATAAAAAACAAAGGGTATTATTAATATTAATCAGAAAAATTAAAGCTTGACCTTTTAAATGTATAATGTTACATTTAAAATGTAATATAAAAATCTATTTTATCATTTTAGAGGATCCAAAGCCCACAGCAGAGTGTCCGCGACAATACGGCTATTTTGCTTCTCCTTCTGGTGATTGCGGCCAATATATCATGTGTCTAGAAGGCAAAGCTACCAAAATGTCCTGCCCTCCTGGCCTTGCATTCAATTTAAAAACAACTGCTTGCGACTGGCCTGCAAATGTCCCATCATGCGACCCTGTTGGTAAGTATTTAATAAAAACATAAAGAATTAATAAAAAAGATTTAGACATATTACGCAATAAACACAAACAACATTTCAACAATGTGTTAGAAAAATGACCGATTGTAACACTCATTTTTTGCCACAGTTTTTAGAGGCTTTACGTGCCCCGTGCCAGACATTGGAGAAAATGGAAAACCTTCCGATCTGATTTATAAATACAGGTAAATATGTATATAAATTTACAATAGTGTACGTGATGATTCTTATTATTTTACGTAAATTTACAAGAACATTTTGCAATCTTCTCTTTTGGTCTTGAGTCTATACGTATACCAAGCCAAGGGGAAGTTTGTAAGTGTAAGGGTGTAGACTAACTGATTATCATTAGATGTTTGAATAACTTTTACCTACGAATTCGTCTAGCACCAGAGTACATATTGTCTCTAGTAGGACCCTTATTAGGTACTGAAACGATAGGAAGCTATGCTGACCATAATGTTATCCACAAGGATTATCCTTACGGATCATACTCATAAAATAATAAACAACTGATGATGATGTAGCTATTTATATATTTTACAGATATGGAAAAAGTTGCAAAAAATACATAGCGTGTCAACGAGGAAGTCCACGTCTTCTAAGCTGTGACGAAGGACTTTCTTACGATGAAGCATCTCAAAGTTGTATAGATGACGAATTTGTTAAAGATTGCTCTTAATAAAATGTTATTTTATAAATAATGACGAATATTACAAAAAAATTGTAATACTTGGAAATAAAATAAAATCGATTGAACATACTTTTTAGCTTTGTTGAATTTACTTGACGACACTGTTACGTCACTATAGTCAAACAGTAAACATCTTGATACTTACTATAAAAAAATAAAAATAAATATAATTTTGGTGAATAAATGAAATGACGCGGACTTGAACTGGACTGACAGAAAACTGTTATTTGAGATATTTATCGGTTCTTAAAACTAAATGACACATCTGATACAAGTAGCGGCACGAAACTCTAGCGCTGACCGTTATTGCGCAGATGTAAAAAATAAGGTACCTGAGGGTGGCTAGCGGAATGAAGAGTTTCGATTGGCTCTCCAGTCGCATTCCGTCCCCCGCGCAACAGTACACATGCACAGCAATCCCCTCCACGTATCGGCCAGCGCTAGACTTTACGTGCCGCTGCCTATACGATAACGTGCATACCTGTAGGGGAAAGTTGGATAATACCGAGCCCCTAAGGACTTGGACCTATAATTAGGAAACTGTTTGATATTAAAAGAAACAAAATAGAGAAATTAGTTGGAAATTTATTTAGGTACGCATACCGTATAACAAAAACTTCCAATATTTAAACAAAATGTTATTATTGTAAATTACAAAAAAAATAGACACGGTATTGTCAAACTGGTCTGATAATATCGTGCCCACATTAATTGCATACAAATGGGTAAGTAATAAAAGTAAATCATCAAAACATCTACAGCGCATAATATCTCCGCCGCGCCGTCCAGCGGACCGTAATGGCGGTGCGCGGGGAAGGGTTTAGGCATGTTCGGCTTCGATGTATACTATACGCACTTCAACGCAGAACTAGTGGATAGTTTTTTACTTACGCACGGAATTATCAACCGCGAGGTATTTTCCAACTCTCCCCTACCTAACGAAATTTTACATTGGGAACGGTAATGTTATCTCATAGTTTATGGACGTACGATAAACTAAAGAGGTTATTTATAAAAACCAAAACTGACTAAATTTAGACTTCTAGAACTTAGATTCAGATTTTTATTGTTAATGGATAGAAGAGGAAGTTAAGCCGATCAATAACATTTTTTTTTAATTGGCCCGCACGGTTTGTGCATTGTGGCCCAGGGTCAAAAACAGGGAAACGGGTAAAAACATAAAATTATCGGCTGGAAAGGAATTTAGGAATAGAAAATATTTAATCTATAAAATAAAAGATCAATTCTTATAAATCTACTTAAAAAATGAGTGTAAGAAAAAATATCTACATATATTTACATTTGATGTTCATATTGTCTAAATTTTTATATTATTACTTAAGATAAAAGCTGCTAAAAGATTATATACATGTGGGTCCAATGTTGAAAGTAAACATGATATGGATGAAGGGAAAGGAATTTGAAGGGAAATGAGACCTTCAAGAAGAGCCGACCGGTCGCGTCGAGGACAAACAAATATGATGTGATTTAAATCACCTACATCATATGCGCAATCGCACGCTGGGGTGCAGACGTGTCCCAGTCGCATACGAGACAGTACTGTTGTAACTTTTTTACTGAATCTCAGTTTCCAAAGCCAGGGCTTACTGGGTATAGAAAGTTGAATAGTACGATAATGGCGACCTTTTGAACTATCTTGAGCCCAGGATTCAGTCCAGGAATTCCTGAGATAAATCCCTGAAAGAGACATCAAATCATGCGCATAGTTTCTAAAAATGTCTACATCTCCACTCTCCACCGCCTTATTGGCTAAACGATCGGCTTTCTCGTTTCCAGATATTCCACAGTGACCAGGAACCCATGCAAACGATACGGAATAGTTTTCTTTTATACATTTTAATAGCAGGTTTCTAATTTCGGAAATGATAGGGAATTGATAATGTGATCCAAATGGGAACCGGGCTAAGGCATTTAAAGAATTCAGTGAATCTGTAAAAATTACAGTTTTTTGAAGTTTTAGTAGAAGGATGTATTCTATGGCTTTAACAAGGCCAATACATTCGCCAGTGAACACGGAGGATTCAGGAGGGAGTTTAGTTTTTTTAACAATATTGTAATTAGAGTGCAGTACACCAACACCTACACAGCCATCTTTGGAACGCTTAGATGCATCTGTAAATATTCGATGCCATTGTGGCCACTTGGTGTCAACAATATAGTTAAATGTTAACTTTTGGTTTTGCTCAATTTTCACAAGACCTGTGCTAGTATGTATATCAGGAGGGATTACAAGGGAATCATAACTATATTTGAACAATGGATTAGAAGTCGCTTGGTGAGTAGGAGCCTCAAAACAAGTAAATCTTCTGTAACTTTCAACCAAACATGGTGGGGGTTTGTTTTTCCAATAAGTACAATTGGGGATTAACGATGCCAGGTAAGTCAGTTTAGGTGTTAGGATATGGTTACTGAATTGGATACAACGGAATAGGAATTTATCAGACAGAAATTGCCGTCGTAAGCTTAATGGAGGCTCTACACACTCGACTCTCATACAGTTATCGACTATTCTCATTGCTTTAGCCTGAATAATATATTTTTTTAAAACCAGAAATATTTCCTGGTTCCAACAGAAAAGTACCGTAATCCATTACACTTCTGATTATGGCGTTGTAAATCAGTTTTAAGGAGTGTGAATGCGCTCCCCACCAGATGCCCGATAAGCATCTAAGAATATTAAAATTACGTTCACATCTTGCAGTTACATATTCACAATGGGGACACCGGTAAGCTTGGAATCTAGAACTACTCCTAAGAATTTGACGTCATTAGTCGAGGGAATCAAAACACTATTGAACTTTACATGGACCGGGGGGAGGCCTACGCATTCTGGAAAACAACACAACCCTACTCTTGGATACAGATAAGTCTAAACCATTCGAATTTAGCCATGATTTTAAAAATGAAAGGGAAGATGTTAGAGCTTGGCAATTATTTTCAATAGATTTTCCCGATTTGTATATAAGAAGATCGTCTGCATATTGTAGAACGTTTGCTGATGCCTGCAATGATGTTTCTAAATCATATGTGTAGATGTTATAGAGCAAAGGACTGAGCACAGAACCCTGTGGTAATCCTTTCCACACAGTCCGGGATAGTTTGACATCTTCGATAAATAAATTAATGTATCTTTCACTGAGCATATTGATAATAAAGTTTGACAGAATCGGTGGTACATCTAAGCAAAGCAATTTTCCCCTAAGAACCGATATAAGAACATTGTCATAAGCTGAGCTTATATCTAAGAAAGTAGCTACTATCGACTCGTTGTTTGAAAAAGCTAGTCTTATGTCCGTAGTGAATATACCTAAGCTATCCATTGTGCTTCTACTTTTCCTAAAACCGAATTGTGACGTTGCTAATAGATTTTTACTCTCTAAAAACCATTCTAAACGGATTTTAACAAGGTGTTCTGCTGTTTTCATTAAAACAGAAGAAAGGACAATAGGTCTGTAAGAAGAAGGATCATCGGCTGGTTTATTGTCTTTTAAAATAGGAATAATAGATTGAGTGATCCAAGACTTGGGAATGCACCCAGAAATCATAATAGAATTTATAATATTTAAGTACAGCATCAGCACACGGTCCGAAAGGTTTTTCAAAAAAGAATATAGCATCCCATCTTCTCCTGGAGTAGAGTCTTTTACGTTATTGAGTACACCTTTAAGTTCGATCAAAGAGAAAGGAGCGTTTAATCCAGTTTGGTCATCGGAAATGCAAGCAGGAATAGATGATGGAGGAAATCCCTGTTCCGGTACAGAAGGGGGTGCAAGATGATACATGAACTGATCAGCTAGGGTTAGCGGTAATTTAGAAGAGGGAGAATTATTATATGCAGATCTAAATCTACGAACGTCTGTCCGTACTGCTGACGTCTGGGCTAATGGAGGCACAAAATGATTGCCAACCATCATATCTCTTTTTCTTAAACAATTTTTTAGCACTACGGGCAGATTCTAAATATAACTCGAAATTTTCTTCTGACATCTCCTCACAGTAATTTTTTTCAGCCTGTTTTCTTGTTTTTATTGCAGCTGTACATTCATGATCCCACCAGGGAGGCGAAGGAATTTGCGATCGGAACTTAGTTTTAGTGCAAAAAGATTCATCGGCAGCTTCAATCAAAACCTGAGAAAGAATTTCGGCAGAGATCTGATCACCTTCTTGAGAATAACTACTAGTTTTCTGCTCTACTCGTTGGTTGAATAATTCCCAATCAGCGTTGTTTAATCTGTATTTAAAACGAGGAGAGCGAGTGGTTTTGGTAGGTTTGTGTGAAGGAAAAGTAATTACAAGTGGAAAGTGGTCACTACCATACAAAGATGCAAGAGGGTGCCAGTCTAAAGTTGAAGCTAAATCAGGTGAACATAAAGATAGATCAGGCGCACTTGCACCTTCACTTGGACCAGTAACACGGGTTGGCAGCCCAGTGTTTAAATACAGATACAATGAGAATCTATAATATCTAATAATTGATCTCCATAATAGTTGGAAGAAGTGCTTCCCCAGGATTGATGTTGGCAATTAAAATCACCTAGGACTAAGAATGGCCTTGGAAGGATTGAGAACAGTTGATTAAGATGAGAAAAAATATTTACATTAGGACGAGAAAAATAAATAGACACTATACAAATTTTATTTATGTATATTGTAAATTATTTTTATCAGTCATTGCTGCAATATAAATAAAATTATTATTATTATTTTATTTATATTGCAGCAATGACTGATAAGTCATCTCCGAATGAGGGAAGTGGAAATAAGGAATAGGGGAGATTATTTTTAATGACTATGGCAATACCGCCATAGCCGTCAGGTCTGTCCTGTCGGAGAATAACATAACCTGGAATTCGAAAAGTCAATTCCGGTCGAAGCCATGTTTCCGACAGAGTTGAGACAAATGGTTCAAATTTATTATGCAAATGGATTAAATCATTTTTATTGCAGATAGCGCTTCTGCAATACCA